CTAAGAGTGGTAAGGAAATGAGTTCTTAACAAATTATTCTGAGTAATTTGTTTATTTTTACTTGTACGAATAATCTGCTCCTATATAAATATATATATATATATATTTTTTTTTTTACAAGCTCAAAAACTAATATATTTGGATTTTAGGTAAAATCTGAATTCCGAAATAAAACTGAATTTAAAAGTATAAGTGCACTTCAACAATCACCCTCCAGTTTGTTTTTAAAAGCTCGTAAAGCCGCCAAAAAGCGGGGTCTGCTAAGTTTAGCGGAAAAATTGACGTCATGACGTGTGTACCAATTCAGTTTCCACGCTAAATTTGGCGGCGTGCAACGATAAATGTTATCGCATTCATAGATAACCATCCTGTTGTTTCTTCGAATTCGCCTCGACAATCGAATCGCTGCCTTGTATTTTTTATTAACTTTTTACACACTCCTGACAAGCTCCTATACACTCCTATACAAGCTCAAGCACCGAGCAATATTTCTTTAATTACCAAGTATCAATCATGGGAGTGATCATTTTGATGTTAATTGCTTTAATGAAATTGTGACTTAGAATAGTACCTCATAACTAATTGTATCAGGTGTAATTAGGTACCATAACTGCGCAACCGCGCACAGTTTCAAACAGGTCCTTATAGATATAATACCCATATAGGGGCTCATTTTTAGATTATTTGCCGAAATGCATATATGTTACGACTGTGGAGGTGTTATTTTTACAAAATGGCATAGTCGGCTATATTTGACAGTGACTGCAGATACTTTGCACCGCAGTATTCTCAGGTTTGGGAGAGATCTATCGTTATTGACTTTCTTTTTGTTCACGCGCTGTAAATGAGTTGTAGTGCAACTTTACAAATGCACATTATTTTACAAATTACGAAAATTGATGTATTTGACGCCCAACCAAATTTGAAGCCAACTGATAAAACGTATTATTCTATAGCTTTCCGTGTAGTTTTCAACTGCTTGCAATTAGTTTTGTGCTGGCCTTGATCATTCGTTCTTCTGCTCTCTTGAATTTTATTCGGTTAGAACTAGTCGATGAGCAATAGCAACAATTTGTTTTTAGATTTTTCAGTATTCATATCGTTTAATCTCCAGTCATCTTGTTATATATCATATTTATTTTTTCTAAGTAAAGGTAATTATTTGTTTACTGATTCATTCACTCATTTATGTAGTCATACAAAAACATGAGTTATGAATAAACGGGTTCTTTGATTAATTGATTGATTGACTTATTGGTAAATTCAGGTAACTAATTAAAGAAATCACAGTAACACAGGAGAAGTTTTAAATCTTTCTTAAAATCCAATCCCAAAACGAAAATAAATAAAGAAATAGGTGCATATGTTTAAACACCAAAGAAAGGATTAATTTGGCTATCTGATACTAACCAACCTTCGTAGTCTTTAATCTTGAACCTATAATAGATAACTTGACAACTGTTCAAGTCTTTTTTTTAAGATTAAATAATGCATTGAGAGTGGTAAAGTAACTAAAAACAAATATTTAGCTTACCATAATAAGTTCAATGTTCTGTAAATAAATACGTTACAAGTCACGATATAAATTTAGGAACCAGAGCTATCTTTCAGTTCATATTTAGTCATGTTTAGCATGGTTCAGGCTATACATCGGCTTGCTAAAAATGTGTTTAGGAAGACAGAATTTTCACAAAAAGCCACAAAGGGAAGCTGGAGAGGTCTTCAAATTCGAGCAAACAGTAAAAGTTGTAACGTAGACACCTTGAAACATCAAGTTCTCTTTCGATCTTTTTAGTAGGAACGTCGTAATAGCCAATCCAAAATTTCGGCAGAGACCCGCCCGTTCCAGCGAGCGCGCCGGGACTGGGAAAGCGCGAGAGCGGAGAGAAAAGCTAGCAAAAGTGACGTCATCATCGAGGTCAGATGACCCTTGCTCGCCACGAAGCTGGCTCGGGGATGCCGACGATGGGCGAAAGGACGCTCTGAACAGATAACAGGCGGCAAAGAGGATCACCACATTCCCAACAACAATCGCTGCATGAATCTTTTTTTTACATTTTTTTCTTAAATGAACACGGTTTGCGTTTACTCCTGACCAATGATAAGTGCGATAAATGAATTCACGGCACAAAAAGCTATGCGGAGAGCAAGTCGTCTGCTTCTTGCGCAGGAGTTACGGTGACGTCAGAACGACGCCGAGCTCTGATTGGCTTTGATTGAAAGGATATAGTGGGTAGACCTCAATGATAGATGCCTTGAGGTCTGCCCCATATTTTTATCTTTGTTTTTAAGTCAGCGAATAAAAGCGCGGCGTTCTGACATTATCGCACCCCGTGTGCAAAAAGCAGACGATCTTGCATTCCGCATAGAAGTCCGCTCCTAACTCAGATTTCTCGAAAACTGCTCCAGCTTCCTTTTAAACCGCAAATAGTGCGTAAAATTGGAACCGAACTTTACCAATATTGTTTTCTGCAATTCAAACCTGTACTGGCAGAGAGGAGAGTAGAAATCAGGATAATTTAAATCGTGACCTAAATCCTGATTTAAATTGTGATTTAAATCACGCCGGTTTTTTACCATGACAATTTAAATCAAACCTCTTCCGAAAACACGATCCCTAAATATTGTTTTTATTTCCTGTTTGTCGATAATCTCATGCTTTTGGTGCGCACTAGATTTCAATTTGTGATAAAAAAAATTATATAAAAAAACTATTCATAGCAGGATCAACAATTCTTCCGAGCAAAATAGAGCGTTGAGGTTATTTTGATCCATTCCACTTCGTTTGGTACTTGCGTAATGTCGTTCTGCAATCAAATTAAAACTCGGAAAAAAGAAACTAAGACAAGAGAAGAAAGGTTTTTTGGAAACAAATCAAAGAGCGAAAGAAAAATCAAATACAGCTTCTTTCACTAACGATTGCAGGTTAGCTTCTTTTGTTTTATTTTAGTGGATTTACATCAGTAAGAATTAATATTTAAACTATATTTAAAGAATTTCAATATTAATGTTTCCAGTAATCGAACTGATTTATCAAGCACTTAGTTATGTATAAAAATAGATATAGTGATGAAGATAACTTTCAGGTATAGTGACATGAATCAAATTAATCTGATACAAATCGATTACATTTGATATACTTTATTTTTTTTCATTGTGATCTTTTACACCTTGTCTACTGCTAAGCAGCTCCAGTGTCCATAACCTGGACGTTACGCTATATTTTAGAGGTGATTTTCATCTGCCGTTGTCTTTTTTTAAGACCAAATCTGACTATAGATAAATGTAGACCCATATATGTAAATTGATTTTATTTCAACTTATGCAGCTTGAACCGCTACCTAATTTTTTTTTAAATATGTATTTTATGGGTCTGGCCGGCTGGGTGCAATACTGCTAATTGGTTTCTTTGCAAAAGAAACCAATTAGCTAATTGATTTTGTTAATTTTACATAAGCAAGGATTTTATTGCGCGTTTCACGTATACATGCAGCATTTCGAATTCCAGGCATATCTATATTAAACTGTGAAGTCATGACGATTACACTTACCAGTGTGAATGCACACATTTTTTTTTTTTTTTACCTGTACACTGGGAATCTACTCCAGCGTTAGAAAACGGCCCCATCTTCAAGTTAGGAATCGGTTTTATGGTGTATAGGAATAACACTCTCTATGTCCAAAGCACCCGTGAAGAGTTATACGCGCACGAATAATAATTACTTATTCATGTATGCTACATACTGACGTATGCTAGGCACAAATGTTTATATATAAGAGGGTTTGGGTGGTATGTGGACAGCAACCAATATTAGGCTATGTAAGGTATTTGATATTGCGCTATTATGTTGAAGTATAACACGAGTATTGCGGTGACATGTGTACGACGACGTTCTGTGCGTTTATGAACATCAAGTGAAAAAAATAGGCGCGAATAAAAATAAAATACAATCTACTTGGAGCCTGGGACGCCATCTGCTTGAAGACCAAAATTTTTATAAAAGTTTTCACTACCTCCGACGTGAAATTTCATTAAAGATTTTGGATATATTTGTTTTGTGTAGCATAAATGAAAAATAAAAAAAACGCTTTCGTTTTTTTTAGCGCTCGAGATTTTGAGCGTAAAGTCGAAGAAACTTGACATTTATACCAATTCATTCTTCAGCTTAACATGTGTATGCGAGGCAACGGCTCAATTGGCGCGAGGAAAGATGACTTCAAAGCACACACTTTGTTGTGCGCCTATCCTCGTTTCATTGAAAGATCACTGCATGCATTGTGCTAAGGATTAATTGATTTATGACGGCCCATAAAATAGAAATGTAAATAAATGGCATCGGCAGCTTTGTGTTTTAATGGTACCAAGTTTTCAGAAACGTCCACAACGGGAAGACTGTGGCACAGTCCCCATTTTTGTTTTGCTTTTGTCAGCCCGAGCGGAAACGAAGTTGCTGATTCCAAATCACTATGCTTCAGCCACAGTGTATAATATATGATACGTATATATCATACGTTCGTGCAAAATGCATTTAAAAAAAGTCTACGAGGGAAATAATGGGACACAATAATGTCGGCCGTTATTCACAGAGCGGGCTCCCCCCAAGAACTAGCTTTTATCTATCTTCTGCCAATAACAAATATCTCGGTCAGGAGGAATGCACGATTAAACGCGTTCAACGAGCACTCCACTCAAACAAGGTCATTGTCTTTGGCAGACGATAAACGGGAGCTGGAGTCACTGATAACAGCAGGGCGTGAATTAATTACGCTCAGGCTTCTCACTTCCCGATTGTTTGTCGGGGTTTTTGGAGTTTTGTGTTTGTCCTTTGTCCACTTTTTTGCCTTTCGCCAGGGATTATTATTGCCATTCTTGTCCAGCTCGCTTGCACCTTGGCATCAATCGCATCTTAATCATAACCTTAAAAATGCGCGCCATTCACCCTTGTTGATGTTAGACTGGTGGCTACTGATAAAATCTCTTTGCTCTACTGACGTCTGACCCCTGGCTAGCTTAGCTGGTAGAGCGCTCCACTCGAAATGGAGAGGTCCCGGGGTTCAAAACCCGGACTAGGCGGATTTTTTCGTTCGCGCACCAGTCACCTATAGCTGTGTTTGGAGTTTTGTGTTTGTCCTTGTCTCCATTGTTCCCCTTCTCCATGGATTATATTGCCATTTTTGTCCAGCTCGCTTGCACCTTTGCATTAAATGTATCTTAATCCGAAATTTCATTGGGCGCGGCGCGATAATAATGCACGGAATTTGCCCCGCGTATCTTGGGACGTCCGTGACCATAGTTGCGAGCATGCGCCGTGAAAAAAACTGACCAAGAACATGGCATCCAATGAACCTCCGTTATGGCGCAATTGTTTCGTCATCTCTTTAACTTGCGTAAAACTAGACCTTATTATAATTATTGTTAACACGGAGAAGAGCGGCTGGTGTCCGGGCTCACCCGCGAACATGAAGGGTTCCGTGCTGACAGGGAAGATTCCTCCTCCGGATGCGGTTCAGGGCAGATTCGCTCGATGCTCCCCGACCGGCCACTTTCACACTGCCGCTTCTTTTAGCGCCGGGCCACGATGAGACTCGAACGGGTAAGGGGGCCGCTTCTTTAGTCCTTTTTGCGCCTGTTTTGTTCCTTTAAAGCGGCGGACAAGAAGTCCCGCCGCGCTGCGAATTTCTATCCCATACAGGAAGCAGAGGGCAGATCTTTTCCTACCGGATCCCAAGAAGAAGAAGACGACGATGACGACTTTGAGAATCTGTGTCACGCCACGCTCCGTTTCGGTTCGGGATGGACCTCGGACGACGCTACGAGACATCCACAGCCAAGCCGGAGATGAGAACATATCAGGTCACATCGCACATACATGTTCAATCAATCAATCAAGTTTGCTTAAACTAAACACAGAACACACTGTCCAAACGTATCAGTAGCCTTGTTGGTTATTCTTGGATGCATTCCAAATGTACAAGAATAAATAATGCCGCGGCTACCTTGCACCCAGGATAGAAAACTCTACTTGGACCCATACATGTGACGTACAGATTATATATATATATATATTTCTCACTCAAACGTTGTTTCTTTGTTTTTTTATATAAAACATTTTAAGTGTCTAGACTCTATTCTATTAAATTGGCTAAGACATGTACAGCTGATACTAAAGCAAAAGACTACATACTTGTTACTTGCTTGAAAAGTAACTGGGTGTACGTTACTTTTAAATGATTTTCAAATGAGACGCGTTCCTTTAGCTTAGAAGAAACGCGTTAGTTTCTCGTTACTTTTAATGTGCCGTTTTTTTTTGTGCTTTTTTAGTGTAGCACCAGAAGCTTTCCAGTGTTTAGACATGAACACTGAATTCCCACATCAGAAAATAAGTTGATTGGAAGAATCACCTGGGGATTAGTGCTGCTGTGTTGCAAGAATTCGTTACGCATATACGTAGAAACGTAGACGTCACAAGAATAAATGTACGCACTCGCTTTGATGTTCTAACTAATTGCTGACGAAATGGACATTTTTCCAGTAAGCTTCTGCGCATGCGTACACTTCCGCTGTCGCCATTTTCGCAAATACACCTGGGACGCAAAGTCCTGCAAAAATGGCAACAGCAACATTGTCAGCATCTATCTTCGCGCATATTTAGTCTATTTTGACGCTCTGCTTTTTGTGTATTGGTAGTATGGAGTATAAAAAGCACTGAAAACCGATACAACGGCACGATTTCAATCTGTTTTGACGGGCGGAGGCATGTTGGACTGCTTTTCGATTGTAGTTCGCAGACAACTCCCCAGACGGCGCTCGTTACTCGAAAAACTTAGCTAGGTGGCGTAAGCTACCGCCCGATCCAAAGGGCTCAGCCGGATTCATCCATCCATCGTCCATCCATCCAGGTCTATTATCGCTGTAGCTTTAGCGCAAACGAATTTTTAACTCCAACTTTTTTTTTTCTTCCTTTTTTTTCTTTTTTTTTTTGGGGGGGGGGGGGGAATGAAAATTAAATTGGCTTACTTCCGTTGTACGCGCTCCACTCTAGAAGTAACTTACTGGTTACTCCGTCAAAAAGCAACAAAAGTGAGCTACTCGTTCCTCAAGAAGTAACCAAGTCCTTACAGAGAAATGCAACTAGATACAGGTAACGCAGTACTTGCAACGCGTCACGCACGAGTCTATACCTGTTTTCACCTCAAGAACCGTAGTAAACAAAAGTCCGGCTCCTCGCGGAGCGTTACTAATTTCCTCCTTTATGTGGCTAATTAAGATATATGTAGGTGCATTTTAGATTATATATATGCTATCTTATCAAGACGCGAACGTTCCAATCGCCAAAAACATTGCTGTTTCCTCCGACAAGCAAATCTAGTAAGTTCTAGTTCGCGCCGCATAGGAACAATGCTCAAAACTTGCTTGCTTTTTGTTTTAGGTGAATACGGGTATAGATTGGTTTGGATGACCCGTAGCGGTCATTTGCGGTCCAACGTAAGGCAACAACGGACTTCTTTGCGTCTGCAAGTGCGCATGAATATCGATGTCGCTGTTGTTGCGTGTTTATACCTGAGAGTCTAGATTTTAAAGAAGGTGCAACTATAAAGCCATAGAGCGCGTTTGTCAATGCGGAGCGGAAGTTTGTCTGCTTCTTGCACAGTGGTTGCTCCGATAACAAAACGCGAAACTCTCATTAACTGATTTGAAATAGTGGTAGACCTTACGGCATTTGAACTAGGGTAGACCTTAAGGCCACGGTCCCACTGAATGTGGCAGTTTAGGTACTTTTTGGCAGGTCATTACTCATCTCCTTTTAAATACTGTTTTGTGGGATTGATGTCATTAGAAAGGCAATGCAATCCTCTTTCATTTGATGTTATGTATGTGTTGGTTTTTACTGTTCATGCGCATTTGTAGCGTTGCGAATATGATGGCGCGGACCCTCACTTGCTCTGCTAGTTCATGTTTTATAGCAGTCTTATTAAGATGATGTCGGAGCAGAATGTAACGATACACTTTTTTAGTATTTGCACTACTTTGTTTTTTTCATCCCTGAAACGCGCTAGGGCAATGAAATAAGCTACAGATGTAGCGCTTATAATTGGTAATATGCAGAAAAATATTTAATGTTGTGTAAAATTTTTTTGTTTAGATATTTTATATCAAACGTAGCACTTTTTTGTGCTTCGAGTCATGGTACTTCAAATGCCGCTGAGGAAATAATTAAACTATGATAAAATCTTTTATAACATTTAGAGCTACAATGGTTGCCCAAGAGGTGGACGATGGCTTTTTTTTTTCATTTTCAAAGTCATAACGCTCCAGAAGCCCTTCAAACTTACCTGTTTTTGACGCATATCATAACATTTATTGTTTGGAATAGATATACATTGCGATGTATTACATTTTCACAATGATCTTGCTTTGGTTTCTTAATAGGTGTAGAGCTTAGCTAATTTTCCAAACAATTAAAAACTGTTTAGGTGTTTTGTTGCGCTACCTGGCGGATGGCAGACAAACTGCTGATTTCTAGTGTTCAAAAAATTTTCGAGGGCGGCGTTGGCGTCTGTATCATCATCAATCTCCGTGTCTTTTTACCTTCACATTTAAAAAATATATTGGAAGATTTACTATCGATAAATGAATGGTTTAAGTACTGGGTAAGGTTAATAAATCTAAGACAAATAATTACACACGCGTAGCGTGATATAACGTGTTCATTATTCGATTTGATTGAAATCAATAAACAATAAGGACGAAGAGAAAAATAATACACCCGAGTTCACTTCATGCCTAGAGTCACTAAATGAGCTTTAAAGTATCGGCACTCCGTTCCCCAAAATTGTTTTTGGCGCTGCCATTTTGGGTCTTGTTCAGAGCAAACGTAACTGCCGATCGTCATGATCGAAAAGTACGACTTCCTCAGCATTAGATGCGGTGCTAGGAAGCTGATGCAATACTGCAATGCTCTGTCGCGGGTTCTTTAAACATTTGTGGGGGAGGAAAAGCGTTTCCTGTGATTTTAGATAAAGCTTCAGGTAACTGGCAACCATGATTTTAAGCCACAATATGGCCAAGTGTCGTTACTCTGAACCTTAGCTAATTTACTGGCACAAGCGGGAACAATGAGGAAGAGGCAGGTGTCAAAAGGTAGTGGCTTGTGGAATCCACAGGGCTTACGTCATGGCCCCTCCAGGTATTACAAGCCTCTTGAACAAGAGCATGAATAGTGTCATTAAATAAGCTACGGGTCAGAGTAGCGACACTTGGCCATATTGTGGCTTAAAATCATGGTTGCGAGTTATTTGAAGCTTTATCTGAAATCACAAGAAACGCTTTTCTGTCCTCCACTTTCAACAGTGTGCGACAAAGCAAAGCAACATTACATGAGCTTCCTAACACCGAATCTAATGCTGAGGATGTCGCACTTTTGAATCATGACGATCGGCAGTTGCGCCTGCTCTGCACAAGCACCAGAATGGCGGCGTTCACAACACTGTCGGGGAAGAGAGTGCCGATACTCTAAGCGCAGCTAATTTATTTGCTCTAGTTCCCGCGAAACTCCTTTTCCCTGACTGAAACTGAAAGTAAATATGAATAATACACCATTATTATAGCTTATTGAGTTATAACCAACTACACATAATGAGAGGAGGAAGCGGCCGGGTAGGAGAAACGCGGGTTTTATGTGCGACCGTTCTAACCGTCTCAACAGAGAGAACGCGCGAACTTTCGCTGGTCTAAAAAAAGGCGTCCAAAGAAAAGAGGCGGCACGCTGTGCTCTTTGCTATTATGCGTCTAATGGCAAATTGTTGTGTGTATGTTTATACAGCCGGAAGTTAGTCCTCCTTAGTGGGCGTCTGGTGTCTCAGCTGTAGATGAGCAATTTAGCCAGTGCGGTACAACCGCAAACCTGGGGTCTTTAACGTGCACCACGCAGTAGTGATACACGACCGCACGCCGGTACGATGCTCTTCCAGATCGAAACGGGCAGGGGCGGGGTGGCTTCTGCAGCGCGAGCTTTCGCTCCAAGTGCTCCGAGCTGGTGTGCGCTAGACCATGCACTCGGCCACCGACCCCCC